CTCCTCCTCCTCCTCCTCCGCCTCATCATCATCACCACAACCACCACCACCACCATCACCACCACCACCACAACCACCATCGTCATCAGCATCATAGTCTTCATCATCACCATCATCAGCAGCATCACCACCACCAGCACCACCACCATCATCATCATCATCATCATCATCATCATCATCATCATCATCATCATCCTCATCATCATCATCATCATCATCATCATCAGCATCATCCGCATCGTCATCAAGATCATCATCATCATTATGGTCATCATCATCATCATCACCACCAGCATCCTCGTCATCATCCTCCTCATCCTGATCATCATCATCATCATCAGCATCATCATCATCATCATCATCATCATCAACATCATCATCATGATCATCATCATCATCATCATCATCATCAGCATCAGCATCAGCATCAGCATCATCACCAGGCTCATCATCCTCATCATCAGCAGCATCATCATCAGCATCATCAGCATTAGCATCATCATCCTCATCCTCATCCTCATCATCATGATCGCCATCCTCATCCTCATCCTCATCATCCTTCTCATCCTCACCCGTGCCGTCAGCATCATCATCATCATCATCATCATCATCATCATCATCATCACCACCACCATCATCATCCTCATCCTCATCCTCATCCTCATCCTCCGCCTCCGCTTCCTCCTTATCCTCATTCTCATCCTCATCAACATCATCCGCAGCATCAGCATCAGCACCAGCATCATCAGCATCATCAGCATGATGATGATAATGATCATCAGCAGCCGCATCATCGTCATCATCCTCAGCATCATCATCAGCAGCATCATCGACATCAGCATCATCATATTCAGCATCGTATGTATCCTCATCATCATCCTCCTCCGTATCAGCATCATGATAATCATCAGCATCATCAGCATCACCAGCATCAGCAACAGCATTAGCATCATCATCATCCTCATCCTCATCCTCATCCTCATCCTCATCCTCCTCATCCTGATCATCATCAGCAACATCATCAACATCAGCATCAGCATCATCATCATCATCATCATCATCATCATCATCATCATCATCAGTTTCAGAATCATCATCCTCGCAATCGCCACCGCCACCACCACCACCATCGTCATCATCGTCATCATCAGCAGCATCATCACCACCACAAGCACCACCACCACAACCCGCCACCAACACCACCACCACCACTATCATCATCATGAAGATAATCATCATCACAAATCAGCATCATCAGCCTCATCATCATCATCATCATCATCATCATCATCATCGTCATCATCATCATTATCAGCATCAGCATCATCATCATCATCATCATCATCATCATCATCATCATCATCATCATCATCATCATCATCATCATCATCATCATCATCGTGAGCATCATCAGCATCATCATCATCGTCGTCATCAGCATGATCGTCATCATCGTCATCAGCATCATCATCACCAGCATCAGCATCATCATCAGCATCATCATGCCCTGCCTCTTCCTGCTCCTCCTTCTCGTCCTCCTGATGCACCTCCTCCTCCTGCCCTGTCGTCTCCTCCTCCTCCTCCTCCTCCTGCTCCTCCTCCTCCTGTTGCTCCTCCTGCTGCTCCTCCTCCTCCTCCTCCTCCTCCTCCCCTGAATCCTCCTCCTCCTCCTACTCTTCCGCCTCTTCGTCGGCTTCGTCGTGCTATCATGTTCATTCGACTTCGAGTTCTTATTTGTTGGTTGTGGTCATCCTTCTTAGTATTATTAGTATGTGATGTATTCGGTTTAGTATGCCCCGTACTAATAATATTCGTTGTAGTAGTATTCGTATCATTGTAAGTTGCATGTTTATGTGCATGAGTATTGTTAGTTGTGTTCGTGTGTGCTTTAATTCGTCCTCACATCATTATTCATAGTCGTCGTCTTACTATTGTTGGATAATGGGCCGTAGTAGTATCAAGCGTGCTCTTATTATTAGCTGCACGGTTGTTGTGAGTAACAGAACTATCATTAGTAGTGGCATGAGTGTTAATACAGTCGATACTCTTCATATCAGGTTTACAGGTAGTCGTAATACTATTAGTTTGACTCTTGGTATTATTTACATGATGGCCTTTACTAGTATGCTTACGTTTAACATGTCCCAGCGTACTACCATCAGTACGCATAGTATTCGTATGATTAAAACTCCTCATGTTCGTAGTATTCCTCTGAGTGATATAAGCCATATAAATAATATGGTTCTTACTACTAGTATAACTATGACTACGTTATTCCTCTGAGCAGTCGTGTTAGCGTTCGTAGTTATACGGTCAGTCTTCTTGTCATCGTACTTAGTTTTATAATCCGTCTCCTGAAGGTATTTTCTCCTCGTCGTAGTATGATTAGTCGTGTTATTATTACTGCTGTTATCACGGATAGTATTCGCATTCGAAGTATTACCCAAATTATGATTCCAACTGGTAGTATCATTATTACGATTTTTGTTTTTACTGTGAATCGCATGAGTATTGCTACTATATTATATCTATACACGTATGATGTGCCGTTTTAGTAGTACTCTTTTTAGTCATCGTATTATTGTGTTGGATATTCCCCTGAATCGTCTTCTAAGCAAGCTTGCTATTTATATTTTCTTCATATTACACTTACTACTAATAGTATCAGTAGTACTCATAATATACTTCGTATACCTATCACTGATTTGTTTAATCAACTGAATAATAAACTTCCTATTGTGCATGATAACTATTACTCCTCCTCCTCCTCTTCCCTCCTCATCCTCATCCCGTGCCTCCTCCTCCTCCTCAATCTCCTGTACCTCATCCTCCTCCTCCCGATCCTCCTCTTCCGTTTCCTCCTCCTCCTCCTCCTCCTCCTCCTCCTCCCCCTCCTCCTCCTACGTGGGCGGTCGGGCGTTTCGCCTGAGATTTCCTCACCATTTCTGATCGTTAAACTTGAAATTTGCACCAACTTCACGGATGAAAGGCGGTGTGGCTCTCGCCACAGCGCCGCGACAGCGCCGCGCACACTCTTCCTAAACATTTCCCAGAACTTCACGGATGGAGGGCGGTCCGTTTTCAAAATGTAGCACTCGCATGAGCGCCGCGTGCATTCGCATTAAAAACTTGCAGGACTTCCAGGATGGAGGCCGGTTCCTTTTCAAAATGTAGCTCTCGCCTCAGCGCCGCGCACATTAGTCTTAAGAGTTCGCAAGGGTTTCAAAGATGTGGTACGGTCTAGGATCGTCAAGACGCAACAGAAACTGTAATTTGCGGCGTTGAAGTCCCAGGGACGGCGTTTTGGCACAAGTCCAAATTTTCAATCGGTTGTCTTCCAATGGGGCATTTCCCGCCGTGAAAATGGATCCGTGTAGAAGCTTATGAGGAAGAAACTTGGAAAGAGGGTTGATTGCAATATCTTCGATGACTTTTGGATTTGCAATGGTCCTCCTCCTCCTCCTCCTCCTCCCCCTCCTCCTCCTCCTCCTCCTCTTCCTCCTCCTCCCCCTCCTCCTCCTCCTCCTCCTCCTCCTCCTCCTCCTCCTCCTCCTCCTCCTCCTCCTCCTCCTCCTCCTCTACTGCTCCTTCCTTATGAATAACGCCTCCCTGTAACGCCCGCAGGCCTGTCGAAAGGGCGGGCCGGGCGTGTCGCATGAGACTTCATCACCATCTATGATCCTGAAGCTTGAAATTGGCAACAGCTTCACGGATGGAGGGCGGTCCGCTTTCACAGTGTGGCTCTCGCCTTAGCGCTGCGTACACTCGTTTTCGAAAATTGCAAGCTCCTCACGCAAGGAGGACGGTCCGTTTTCACGATGTGGTTCTCGCCTTAGCGCCACGCACACTCGTTCGAAAAATTCGCAAGAGCTTCAAGAATGGAGGACGGTTGGCTCCTTTCAAAATTTGGCTCTCGCATCAGCGCCGCGCACATTCGTTGCAAAACGTACAGGAGCAAGGATGGAGCGCGGCTCCTTTTCCAAAAACTGGCTCTCGCCTTAGCGCCGCGAGAATTTCGTATAAAAGTGCGTAGTGCGTTCACGAATGGAGGGCGGTCCCTTTTTAACATGTGGCTCTCGCCCAGGCGCCGCGCGCATTCGCGTCATGAGTCCGCAAGCTGTTCGAGGATGTTCATGGTTGGCGTCCCAGGAATGGTGTTTTGGCACGGTGTTGGAATGTCAAGGCGCAACTGTCACATTGATTCGCGGCGTTGAAATTCCAGGAATGGAGTTCTGGCAGGACTCGGGATCGTCAAAGAGCAACAGTAGCGGTGACTCGCGGCGTTGAAGTCCCAGGGATGGCGTTGTGGCACAATTCCAATGTGTCAAACAATTGTCTTCCAACAGGGTATTTTCCTCCGTGAACATGAACCCGTGTAGCAGGCTATGAGGAAGGAGCTTCGAGGGAGACTTGATTACAACATCGTTGATGAGTCTTGGATATGCAGTGGTCCTCTTCCACCCCCCCCTCATCATCACCATCATCCTCCTCCTGCTCCTCTTCCTCCTCATCGTTTTTCTCCTCCGCCTCCTCCGCCTCCCTTTCCTTTGAATCGGCCCCTACATTTCCTGAGCCGCAGCTGTGGCGACGCGGTTTCGATCATCGCTCAGTAAATCCCCCCGCCCCCCGATTTGTTACGCGGTGCGTTCTGGCCAAAAGTTCGAACCGTGGCGACGAGAAGTTCGCGTGAGGCCCAAACGAAGGAGGGAACGCCGATTGTTTACCCACAAGAGCGTGGGGGGGCATCCCCCGCTCGCCCCTCCCCCCCCTTCCCCTGGTCCACCGCCCCGGACCCCCAACAATTATTCACTGCATGGAGCTCCCCATATGTGCATCTATTCGCATGGACCTGTCCGCCGTGAATGTCTAGGCGCAAGAGCTTTCGAATATAAACGGGCTTCAGTTGTGACGGTGTCGGCATGAATCTAACTGCGAATGAATTGGAGTGTGAATGAGCCTCAGTAGTACGAGCGCGTCTCTGCGCATGAAACTGGTCCTCCTGGGGCCTCCTGAAACCTACTGGAGCTGCCTGGGGTCTCCAGGAGCCTCTTGGGGCCTCCTGGGACCTCCTAGGGAGGTTTCGTGCCCCAGGAGAAGCCCAATATATAGCAACAGACGTACATAAAACATTGCGGATTAGAGCCACAGGAGAAGGGCAAAATATAGGAACACACGTAAAACACAAAACACCAAGGACTCGTGCCCCAGGAGAGGCCGAAAATATAGAGCATAAGTAAAACATGCAGGATTGTGTACACAGGAGAAGGACAATCTATGGAAACATACGTATAGCATCAAGGAATCGTGTTCCAGGTGAGGCCCAATCGATAGGAGCTTACGTAAAACACATGGGATTGGAGCCACTCCTGTTGCCTTCTGAGGCCTCTTGCTCCTGGGGCCTCTCGGGGCCTCCTGTTGCCTTCCGAGGCCTCCTGGCGCCTCCTGTTGCCGCCTGGGGCCTCCTGTGGCTTCCTGAGGCCTTCTGGAGCTTCCTGGGGCCTCCTGGAGCCTCTTGGGACATCCTGTGGCCCCTTGAATCTTTCTGTGGCCTTCTGATGCCTCCTGGGACCTCATGTGGTCTCCTGGGGCCTCCTGGAGCCTGTTGGAGCCTCCTGTGGCATCCTGAAAAGAATCTGCGCCCAGGGGGGGGGCACCCATACGGACAAGTACGCGCACTCTTCGACGTCGTGGCCACGCGCGCGGCGGCACGGCGTAGGCAAGGGTGGTGGGGAGGCGCGCCTGGGCCGGGCCAGCCCAAGGCAGCATGGAGGAGCTGGATCCGCCCACAGGGGAGCAGACAGCAGCAGTCGCAAGGGGGCGGACACACACGCAAGCACTTGTTTTTTGTTCGGCGCCGCGGCCCTGCGCGCGGAGACAGGGCGGATAAGGTCATAAAGCGGCGAACGCGCGCGCGCGACTAGGAACGCCCGAGCCCTCGGCCACGCAAGCACGCACGCACCCCCTTTCTGGCCGCCAGGCCTACCACCAACGCCCCGTCCTAGAAAGGCCAGGACCCCGAGCCTCGCACCCGGTCTGCAACGGCGGCGGCGGCCGGGAGCCCATGAGCGAGGCGCGCCTCCTTCGGCAGCGTGCCCCCGTCCTTTCGCAGGGCCGCGTGCTCCTCGGCGCTCATCGTGTTGCGGCGGTTGTTGGCGAGGCCGAAGCCGACCTGGGGCTGGCGCACTCGACCAGAGGGGGTTCGAGGATCGAGGTGGCAGGCTCGAACTGCTGTTTTTCGAAATCAACCTGTCCATCGTGCGGCCTGCCGACGTCATCCATGGGCATGCCGCTCGAGTTGCGGCAACCAGAGCTGGCACGAGGGAAGAGTATCACCAAGTCCTCCCCGCGGTCACGTGGCGAGGGTACTTGCAAAATCACTGACATACAGGGCGGATTGCCCGAGAATGTATGGCCAACAAAGATGCGCGTAAAGAGAATGCGCCATGTCTCCATGCGGCCAGAGGAGAGAAGCACAGAGAGAGAGAGAGGAAGAGAGTCGGGGGTGGCCAAGAGGGGGGCGTCAAAGAGGGGGGGTCGCAAATCATGACTGGCGGCATGTGCGCGGCCCAGGGGGGGGGCCCGCGGACGTAGAAGAGGCGCCATGAAACCTGGGGAGATACATCATGGCCCCCGCCATGATATCCACCCCCCCAGTCATCACCCCCCTCTTGGCCGCCCCCGAGAGAGAGAGAGGGATAGAAAGAGAAAAACAGAGACAGGGAGAGAGACTGGGTAGTCGAAGCCAATCTGGCGCCAATCTGGCAGGCCGAATCTGGCGAACGGGGGCAGTGTGGCGAGGGAGCCAACGCGAACCCAGTCTGGCGAATAACCCAAATCCTCCAATTTGGCCAGGCCAGATTGGCCCTTGGGGCCCAATCCAACCTGCCAGCCTGGCCTTCGACGACCCAGAGAGAGAGGGAGGGCAAAAGGGAACTGCGCCTTCCCCGATCTCGCAGTCTGGGGAGCAGCCTCGGGCCCCAAGGCCCGAGCCTGCCTCCGAAGGCCCCTCGACGGCCAGAGGGGAGAGACCCCGGCACGACCACACGACGGCCCAAGAAGGCAGCCCCAGGAGGGCCCCGCAGGACGGCCAGGAGGGCCCCTCTGGGAGGGACAGGAAGAGGGCCCCGGGGCGGCACGAAGAGGGCCCCAAGACGACCCAAAGTCCCAACGCGTGAGGCGCCGAACCTCTGACATGTCGTGGCCTTGAGTCGTACTGCAAAGGAGCTTCAGGGCCCCACAAAAAGGAGGCCCCGAGACGGCACGAAGAGGGCCCCAAGACGACCCGAAGTGGCCCAAGGTAGCCCGCAAGACTGCCCCGCAGGATCCCGGGACGGCCCAAAAACGGCCCCAACCACGAACTCCTCCTTGACATCATCACCGTCACGATCTTCCAGATCGCACTCGCCCACTACGACACTGCATGTCCTTCTCCTTTTGCTCCTCCTCCTCCTCCTCCTCCTCCTCCTCCTCCTCCTCCTCCTTGTCTTCTTCTTCCTCCTCCAGTCCTTCCATTTGTTCCATGCGTTGTCGCCTCGAGAGCGCGAATGTGCAGTAGTTTACAAGAGGGTGTAGCCTGAGGAAGCGAACTTGTAGCCTTTTACGAAGGATCGTAGCCTGGGAAATGCGAATCTACAGTGTGCTGCGATGGATTGTGGCCTCGGACGAGGGGGCGATGCGCGCGGGGCAGTGCACGGAGAGGGGGGTGGCCCTGGCAGACTACAAGAACCCTGCCAGCCAGCCCTCGGCACTCTAGCACGCCTCAACGATCCAGGAGGAGCGGTGGTGGATCGAAGAGAAACCTTTGTCGTCAAAATTGGGCCTCCACTACTTTTTGCTCGATTCGCCAGGAAGTCATGGGTCAGAGCGCCATTCCTGAGGAGTTGGGAGGGGCTCTCTGGCCAGGGCGCGTCTCCTCCTCCTCCTCGTCCTCGTCCTCCTCCTCCTCCTCCTCCTCCTCCGCCTCCTCCTCCTTACCCCCCATCCTTATCATCGTTCCCTTCATCCTCCTACTCCTCCCCAGAACGACCTCGATTGATCCTAGAAGAGCTGAAGACGGCCAACGCGTGACATACGACGGCGTTCTGACCGTTACTCCAACCTCCGCTCGACTCACATGTTTGCATGAGTAGCTGCAGGTCCGCCTGCATGCATGTGCATCGCGTGTATGTGCTGAACAAACCGCACCCACCGAGGCTCGAATCCAGAAGACGTGGGACACGTCTTAGGCCCAGCCGGAAAAAAAGCATCGCCTTGTGTTTGCATCGTGCCTCCTGTCGCCCCCTCGGACAGTTGCCTCCAAGAGCACGGGCTTGGCGCGGCGGCGGGACTTGCCGCGGGCAGATGGACAGTTGGCGCCTCTGACAGGCGACGCACCTCCTGCAAGGTCCGCCGAGGAGGGTGGCTACCAGAGAGAAAAACAACAAAACAACACAAACAGCTCCTGGGGCGCGGCGGGCCTCCCCGGTCCACCTCATCCTTACTCTTCTCCGTCCTCTGGCTTATCCTCGTCCACCCTCCGTCACCATGCCCTTCCTCCTCTCTCCTGCTGCTCCGCGTTCTATCCACCCAACTCCTCCGCCCTCCTCCTCCTCCTCCTCCTCCTCCTCCTCCTCCTCCTCCTCCTCCTCCTCCTCCTCCTCCTCATGCATGTGTTCCTGCCCTCCTCCCCCACCTGCTCCTCCTGCTCCTCCCCCCCCTCCTCCGCCTCCTCCTCCACCTCCTCCTCCTCCCCCTCCTCCTCCTGCTCCCCCTCCTATTCCCCACCCCCCTCCAACTTAGCATTCCGTTTCTCTTTCCTCCTCTTCGTCTTCCTTTTTCTCGTCCGTGAAACTCTTCGCGTGATCTCTGCTCCTGAAGAATATAATAACACATATATTAATATTTTTCTGATTCAAATATGTTGTGAGAAAAGACAGCAACAAAAATAACAACAAAAATCCGGTCCGCGAACCGTAGCCCCTGACCCTGACCGAAGGGAAAGCAAGCCTGTGATGGCCGCGCCGGGCGCGTATGAGGCGACGACGCTGCAACACAAAAAGGAGGAGGAGGAGGAGGAGGAGGAGGAGGAGGAGGAGGAGGAGGAGGAGGAGGAAGGCGAGAATAAACCCAAAATACATCAACCGATGCTGCAACACCCTCCCGTAGTCCCCTCCTCGGTCAAAGTTCCGTTTCCACTGCGGGCGCCCCCCGTGAATGACGAGCGGCCGGTCGGGCGCCCTCTCTTGAATGACGAGGGCACCTGTTGTAAAGGATCCTCCCTCCACTTGAAGGACGCCCACGGTAGCCCCATTTTGAGAAGCAGTAAGGTCCAAGAGGCCACCAAGAGAGCCATCAAACGGCCAAAGGCCTCCAAGACGGCCCAAAAGGGCCCCCGAACTAGCCCAAGAGGGCCCAAAGACCGCCCAGATGGGCCCCAACAGGACCCTGAGAAGGCCAACAACATTGCCATGTGGTGTTTGTGTGTTTTGAGGATTCTCGCCTTTTCGGGCTTCCGACGGCCAAGGCTCGAATCCAGAAGTCATGGGGCACGTCTTAGGCCGGAAAAAAAACATCGCCTTGCCAAGAGGTCGGCCCAAGAGGTCCCCGCGAGGGACGCAAGGCGCCGAGGCCGCCGGGACGGCCCCAGAGGGCCCCAAGACGGCCCAAGAGGGCGCCCAGAGGCTCCCACGAGAGCCCCAAACGGGCACCATGAGGCTCCCAATAAAGCCCCAAGAGGCCCCAAGGCGAGCTCCAAGACGGCCAGCCCTCCAGGACGCTCAAAGAGCTCAAAAGGGCCCAAGACTGTCCAAGAGGACCCCAAGAGGGCCCAACAGGGCCCCAACAGGACCCCCTAGAAGGCTTGGAGACGCCAAGCTCGTAACACCAGGGCGCCCCAGTGCGAGCGGGGACCTAAACAACTATAACACCAGGGCTCCCCAGAGCGAGCGGTGACGTGAAAAGCTCCGAGCACCAAGGCTCCCAAGAGACCATAGTGGCGCGACAAGCTTTTCACGCAAAGGCTTCCCAGAGCGAACGGTCATGTTACAAGCTCTGAGCACCAAGGCTCCCAAGAGCGAGCGGTGCCGTAAAAAAAGGTCTGAACACGAAGGCTCCCAAGAGCTCATACTGACATGAGATGCTCTCAACATCAATGTTCCAAAGAGCGATCGGCGACGTTACAAGCTCTGAGCACCAAGGCTCCCAAAAGCTCACAGTGACGTGACAAGCTCTTAACACCAAGGCTCCCAAGAGCGAGCGGTAACGTCAGCTCCCAATAGCGAGCGGCGATGCAAACAAGTCTTGACACCAAGGCTCCCCAGAGCGAACACTGCCACGAGCCATTTCGGGCAAGATTATGATGCGCTCTTTCCGTCACCGTGCCGGCCAAGGTCTCAAGGCCTTCGGCCCACCCCGCCACCGTACTTGGGTTGTGGTTCTGAGGCCTCTTGGGTTTTTTTTTATGGACACCCACGTCAACACCTCCACATCCTCGGGCGAGAACCGAGGTCCAGAGCCAGCAGCGGACGGGGACGCTGGCTCCCTGACACAGACCGATTAGTCTGAGTCAGCGGCTATAAACAACGGGGGCGCCGCCCCACACCCCCAGCCGAGAACGAGGAGACTAAGGGCAGGCCGAAGGCGAACATCGACTCCGGAACGCAGCCAGCAGCTCCTCGTCGGGCGTGGACACGGGGGCGCCCAGGGTGCGCACCAGCAGGCGGCGCTCCTCGGCGGTGATGACGACTGCCTCCGCTGCCCCCGCCGCCGCAGCGCCAGGACCAGCTCCAGCAGCATCCATCTCCATGGGCACGACGTCGGGGCTCGGCCGCGCCGCGGCCTGCCGCGCGACGCCGTCGGCCCACTCGTCGTCGTCCACGTCCGTCTCGACCGCAGCAGCCTCCGCCGCGGCCGCGGGCCGAGGGCCCGCGTCCGCCGCTCCAGCGACAACAGCACCAGCGCCTCCTTCAGCAGCAGGCGGAACAGCGCGCCCCGCAGCGCGCGCCTCCGCCACGCGGCGGCGCCGACGCCGTCGGCGCTCCACCTTCGCTGCCGACAGAGGCGTCGGTTCCTTCTTGTCCTCCTGCGCGGCGACGTCGCGGCCAGGCGACGCGTCGGGCGGCGCCGAGGCGGCGAAAATCACCGCCGACACCGCCGACCGCGTCACGGCAGCGACCGTGCGCCGCGGCGCTT